ATATGTAGTGTCAGGCGGAAGCAATAATAAAAGGGAGGGGATATCAAGGAGTATTTGAAACACAGTTACTTATATTAGATTCAACCAAAACTCCGTTTTTTTAACTCTACTTGTTTTGAAAACGTTCGATTGTGTGTTATCGCTTGATAACAAACATAAATTTTAGAAATTTAATTAATCATCTGTTTATTATATTATTAATGCTTCGCCAAAGCCGATCATCCAACTGTTTCAAACCATGGATGAAGATTTTTGGTTTTCAAATTTACTTATTTTGCCCATGTCTTTTTAGTGTACTTTGCTACTTGCTACCCTGTTGCATTATCAAAATTAAGATAAATCTAACGACCGGTTATTAAAAAAAAAAAATACAACGTGTAATTATACAACACGCTTCTGAAGTGAAACTCCTTCAAACACACGAACATACTGGGATAGGGGTTAAGAAATTGGTTTAATGGTATTATTTGTACACTATGCTTCGCACGGGTGCAATGCTGATAGTAAATATACTATAGAATGTCTTTATATATAACAATCACAGCTTTTTTGTCATTAGACAATACAAACCGGCCGGTACCGCCGCAACCGCTATGTCCCTGCATTTTACGACTGTAATATCTTCGAAAATATTCATTTAAATTACATGCTGTAAATGGCCATATTGATTTATATTAAATGCACAATGTATTTAAAAGTACTTAATTGGATAACGACTAATGCTGTATTGCTTAAAATCGCTTCGTAAATAAGCCATTATTTCTCGTAAAACGTAAAGGAAAAAAAATGGTTATTGCGGGTTATCCCTAAGAGATAGACATATACCATAGCGGACTTTTTTGTAGACCCTTTTAAGGTGTACAATACTGTAGTAAATTATTTTGATCTATCTCGTAGGGTTCAGCCAGCGCTTACAATGTAAGCGCAAACCTTCCTCTTGAATGACTCTATCTATTAAAAAACCGCATTAAGGTCCGTTGCGTAGTTTTAAAGATCTAAGCATACATAGGAACAGACAGCGGGGGAAATGCGTTGCATGATTNATAAATTTAAACAGATCAGTTAAATATTTGGTTCCAAATTAAAATTACCTCAAAACCAAAAATACAACGTGTAATTATACAACACGCTGCTGAAGTGAAACTTCTTCAAACACATAAACAGACCGGGATAGGGGTTAAGGAATTGGTTAAATGGTATTATTTGTACAGTATGAATTTACATTTTACACTATACATGCCGGAGTTGCCTGTAACGAATGTTGCATTGAAGCGCGCTCACGGCTCAAGCCATCCCCGCTACGAGACATACGTTGCATGATTTCGTTACATAGCAACTCGCATGAAACGAACTTACCCTACCGTGCGTAAAGAAGTTTCACTTCAAAAATGTTGCTTTATTTTCTACTATTTTAATGTGGCAAAAATATACTTAAGGCCGGGTGAGGAGAAGCCAGGTTCAAATCTTCGTACTTCCTCCAAAAAAGATTTTTTTAATATACCTATTAATTTTAAATCCGAATAAAAAATGATATTATTTACCTATTAACCGCTACCATTTCAATTTATATATATATAACAATTACAATTTTGACTAATCTTGCATAATAAATTCAAGAGAGTTAAAATTATTGCAGGATATGGTTCATTTGGAGTTTGACCTATATACCTATTTATTATTAATGACCTAATTAGTCAGACTTCAGATTTTTTGTCCCAATGCACGTGGATCTTTTGGCGGATTTTTGAAAATCCGGCCAGTTTCTGCTACTAAGAAACCTTCTGCTTTTTCTTAAGTTCTTTCTTCTTTTCTTGTTCAGTTGCAATTATCGGTTTTAAATCTCGATAATCCAACTGAAAGGATGATTGAAGAGAAATTAGAAAGAATAGGAGAGCAGAGGACTCTGTGGAAGTCAATAAGGAATAGGCGAGATAGGTTGGTAGGACACCTTCTCAGGCATGAAGGTCTAGTCAGAGACATATTAGAGGCAGAAACGGGAGTTAGGAGGGGTAGAGGCAGATCTAGATTAGATTACTGGGTTAGTTAAGGATGTGGGATGTTTTTTTTTAGGGAAATGCGAAGATTAGCTCAGGATAGAAAAGAGTGGAGGTGTGTGTCCAATCAGTCTTAGGACTGACAAACTTATGATGATGGGCAGGGGCGGCCTTAATCACTGCGAAGCTCCGGGCGGGTAGATCTTTTCGAGACCCTTGACCTTGTGGAATTAGTTTTAATGATGATTCTTGATGAGAAATACAAAGTTATTAATAAATAAATTTAGAATTTCAAAATTGTTTACTTGAAATTAATTAAAAGAATCAGGGATTCAGAAATGATGCTTGCAGCTTTTATAAGTCTCAGAAATTCAAATAAATATTAGTACTATTAATACCATTAGTATCTTATATTTTCTAATTGGAAAATTACGCGAGAACGCGAAGCCCCTGCAAGAGCGAGGCTCCAGGCGGTGATCCAGCTCGCCACCTCCAAATGCCGCCCCTGATAAAAGGTACTTTATACCTTTTTCTGACAGTGTACAAAATTTCATGATAATCAGTTGAGTAGTTGAGAGTTCGGTTAATTTGGATAGTTTTTAGAGAAGCAGGTGATATTTTCAAATAGAGGTGATTGGAAAAATAAAGGTATTTCATACGTTCACCAAATTATACATCGACATAAAAAGAAAAAATGTCGGCAAATAAATGTATAATTTTTTTAAAATTACGGGGCTATGTTATTGGGCATTGGAAGTTTAGCTTGTCTTTTAAATCATCGAGCTTGCCAAGCTAACGTCTAAACCCCATACTAAAAAAATACAAAGAGCATTTTTAATATTTCATTTTTATGATTACTTGATGGTATACTAAAGCATGTAGTCAAACTATTCATTAAGGCAGTACTTACTAAATTATTTTTGCGTAACACCAATGTGATCGTACTCTAATTCCAATAGATAATTTTCGATTCAATCTTCTCTTAAACGATGACGATGTAGGCTAGAATAACAAAGGTTTGTTTGAGTTGTTACATATCTACATATTGAGTATAGATAATGTCAGTGGCGGACTAAGCCCGTCAGAGGTCCGGGGCGGCAAAGCTGAATGAGGCCCCCATGTTTTAGTTTTTTAGATAGTTTTTTTTATTTTTTGTAGCGTGCCATATGTGGTTTCGTGCCTTCAATTTACTGAACTCCTCAATAACTTCTGTGAAATCGATTTCTTT